CATTCCAAAGTACATATACTACACAGTAGCCTGTGTGGTAAGGAGTGTGTTTAAATTTTATATTTTTACTTTTTAAACTTTTTTTTTATTACAAACTAAGACAGAGGGCCTGGGGTATGGCTCATGGGTATGAGGCTTGCTTCTTGAGCACAAAGCCTTGGATTCCATTCATTACCATCATCACAAAAACACAAACCTAAGATCCAACACACATAGTAGCCAGGCCAGCCCCAGGTCAGGGCCCTCAATGTCACTGTCCTCCACCTCCGTGTCTGGAAGATCTTCGGGGGTAATGACACCCATGGCATTGTCACCTTTTGTGATGGCAGTGTCTGTTGTGGACTATTTCCTCAAGGGCCTTATTCTCTCCTGCTGCAGCTTCTTTTCTTGGGTTGCTAGGGCCACCAGACAGCATTTGTTATGGTTTGTGGCTGGATGTCTCACCAAAGGCTCATACAGTCATGGGGGCAGGCTTCTAGGGTTTGTGATTGGTTTATGGCCGAATGCTGGGATTATGCATGTGAGTGTTACACCCATCTGAGGGTATGTGGCCTACGTATAATATAAGGGACAGAAAGAATCTTCTCCTGTGCTCCTCCCTTTTGCTCTTGTTGCTTTTTCTGTCTCCTGCTATGAATGGTTGCCCCTCAGCCATGCCACCTGCCTGAGAGTCAGCTGATTACAGACAGAAACCTGTTCAAACTGTGAGCTAAATAAACCTTTTCCCCTTTAACTTTGGGGTTGGGTATTTTGTCTTAGCAATAAGAGAAAAGTAACTAAGACACTGGGTTGTCAGATCCCAGAGCCTGACGGTGGCCAGGAGGGGAGACTCGTAGGCTGCCTGGTCCGTAACTCCCTGGTGCGCAGCGGTGAGCGGGAACACCTAACTGGCGCAATTCGATCAGGCTGTGGCTGACTGGGAGAGAAGCTGGGCCTCTTATATAAGCTTGCATATATAAGGAACAGAGAAGAAGAGGCAGCATGGGAAGAGGCAGCAACAAGAAAGTCTCCTCGGCCCCCAATTCTGAGAAACAGGCAATAGCAGACACCGCACCAATACACATAAGGCACCATATAGAGAGCCTCATAGACCAATTCAGGAATGAAGTTATCAACGACCTGAAGCTAGAAGTATGCAGAATAGTTAGAGAAATGCTAAGCACCACCCAAGAAAAAACAGGTGATGGAATGGAAGAACAGAAAAAAAGGGGAGAATTGTTTGATGGAGAAAACAGAGAAAGCATAGAATACATGAAGCAAGTTCAAAGGGACTACCAAGATACTAAGAAGTCTATCGAAGACTGGCATAACAGCTTGAAAGAAACTAAGGACAGACTATCTGAACTGGAGGGCAGACTTGTAATATGGGAGAATGAAATGAAAAACTTCTTAAAAATAACAAAGAAACAAACAGCAATAATACAAAGACAAGAAGATGATAAGAGGATCCATAACTTAAGGATTAAGAACATAAAAGAAGAAGTAGGGATGCAAACAAGTGAACTACAAAAGCTACTCACAGAAATAATCCAGGAGAATTTTCCTAATTTAGCAAAAGGTAAAGATACTCAGATGTATGAGGCATACAGGACCCCAGCTACCTACAACCCAAACAGAGCAACACCCAGGCATATAATAATAAAAATTCCAGAAATTCAATACAAGAACAGAATATTAAAAGCTGTAAGAGACAAGAAACAGACCACTTACAAGGGAACACCCATCAGAATTACAGCAGATTTCTCTGCACAAACCATCAAATCACGAAGAGCGTGGGGGGAAATAATTCAAGCATTGAAAGATAATAATCTCCAGCCAAGATTGAGATATCCTGCACAACTGTCCCTGGAAATTGATGGAAAAACAAGGTGCTTCCAGGATAAAGAGGAACTGGGGGAATTTGCAACCACCAATTCAACTCTACAGAAAGTATTGCAGGATATTCTAAAAAAAGAAAAATACAAAGAACCCAGAAATAGTGGCGGGGAGGCCACAACAAATGGAGCAGAGAACAAAATGAAGAAGACAAACTGACAGCTACTGACAGAAAAAGAGCTTAACAGAAATGAGACAGAGAAGATTGGATGATAGGAACAGCTATTTTGGAGAAAATGACATCTTAATAGGTAATACTGATTTAGTATCATCTTGTTTTGAAGTTTCATCTAGCTTTTGTCCTTCTGTCTCCAATGGTCTAAATAGGCTGTATCTTATTGGATTTTATTATGTACGATAGTATAAGCAAAAACCTTTTAAAGACAAGGAGATTGTACAGAAACCATTGTTCATTTTCTGTTAGTCGATTCTAAATACTCTGTAATGCTGTCATTCTCTTGAATGGTTTTACATTGTTTTGATATACTTAATGCTACAGTATACGAAGTTGTACTCAAGGATTTCAAAGAAAGAAACAATATGGTAACTACTTTTAGGTTAGGATTATCTGGTGGTGAAACACTATTCTGCTTAAATGGTTATGTTTTGATCTGCGCTGTTTCGTTGTTATGCCCTCTTTTATCTCAATCTCCACTCCATTATTTACTTTTTTATCTTTATCCTTTTAATTAAAGGAAAAAAATAGCAGGATATATTATAGTAACCCATTTTGACTTTTCATTACCTTGATTTAAAGCCCTGTATTACTCTCACCATCTGGTTTTTAACTGATGTTCCCCTATTCTGTTTTGCTGGATAGTATCAGGTTCGAAAGTTTAGGCATCAGCTGTGAAGATAATGAGATTCATTATGACGCCCATTCTTGTTGACTTTTAGCTACTTTTGAAGACCTACAATGTCTCCAATGTTTTGGTTTTGTCGGTTTTATTCTTTACTGTTTTGTTCAATTGTATTATAACTAATGATATAGGCAATTCTATTAGAGATAGCGGGAGACATTATGGTAACCATTGTTGATCACCTGTATTATGTTTTTACATTATCTATTATGTCCACCCTTTTGACTTGACCGATTCTGTTCTGTTATGTCACATTTGGTTTTACTCTCTTCCAAAAAAGTAATAAGAACCGTGGGAGCAATGAAACCCAAAATGTGTAATAGTCATGGTACAAAAGAGAGGAAAAGAAAGTACTCTAAACTATATAACTGCATGTATATTTAAGTGTATAAGATAGAAAATGATATCACAGAGTTTTATTGGATCAATGAACAGAACTGTTTGCAGTATCATTGATGGAATGTCCACTTTACAAGCTTTAATTTTGTGACTTGAACAATTATTTCTAAGATGACAATATGTAATCCATTAACTAGTGATTTCCTACTGTTCATTTTTTTTCTGTAAATCTGTATAACTTGTACCCTTTCCCTGCTTTTTTTTTTCTTTTCTCCTTAAATAAAATTTAAAAAAAAAAAAAGACACTGGGTTGTTTGTTTGTGTTTCTGATTTTCTTTTGCTCAGCCCCAAGCCTCTCTGTCTTGAAGCTCTGTGCTGCTCTCTGAGTGTGTATTTTTTTATGCCTCTCAAAAAAATAAGTGCATACTCTAAAAGAAGGAAGAAATACAGTGATCAGGTAAATGGCCAAATAGCTGTTCATCATGGTTATTAAGCACTATGCCGTAAGAGCAATGCTTTCATATGACTTTTTCATTAACGTCAGTATCTCCACCAACTCATGCAAAATGTGTTGCACTACAACCATGACATTACTGGGTGGCAGGAACTTCTCAGGCTCCGGCTCATTATATAGTTAGTCCATCAATGACTGAGACATTGTTATACAGCATGTGGTTGTATTTCAGGGGAAACCCGGAAGGGTGATCATGTGGGAAGCCAAAGGCAGATGCCACCTTGTATGGATGAGGGAGAGAGAAGAGCCAAAGGTCACATTCAGGAAATCAGGAAATGCCAGAGAGGTAGAGAGGCTGCCACCCATCACTGCACAATGCGGGCACTGAAGCATATGGTTCAGAAGGGTCCTGGCTGGTTGTAGCCACCACGCTGGTGTCACACACCTGATGAGCCATCACAGTGGGTGACAGGGGTGTTCCTAGGAGCCATCTTGACACAGGGACTATGAGCAATGACTCAGCAGCACATAGAAGGGTCCCCAAACCTGGCCCAGTGATGCAAGCCTGTGATCCCAGCACTCTGGGGTAAGCCATGAGGATTACAAATTCAAGTCCAGCCTGGCACTTTAGTAAGATGCTATCTAATAAAAAATAAAAAGGGGTTGGAGATGTGGCTCAGTGCAAAGTTCTGGTTTAGTCTCCAGTCATGAAAAAAATGTCTCCAAATCACATAAATAAAATCAATCTACTTGTGTTGCCTGTCTCAGCTTCCCCTTAGCCAGACTCCAAGACACCCAAGATCACCCTAAGTCTCCCAAACAGGGCAAAGAAATAGAATCTGAATGGGGGGAGATAGCAGCCTTAACTAAGTGTGATTTCAAATATGTACCATTTACCACTTTTACAAAAACATTTGTCCCCATGCACACAGCACAAGGGCTTCAGGCAGAGTCCTCAGGGAGGAGTCCTGTAAGTTAACTTCCTGTCACCTACTCCAGAAAGTTCGTTCTACTGCAGGATGGACAGCAGGCAAGCACAGAGGATTTCTCTGAGTATTGCTCATAGTGATAATATTTCACTCAATGTAGACCTGCTATTAGCATGACTAGATGGTTTATTAAATTAATATAAATTTGAATTAGCAGAGAATGCACCACTTTGGGTAGCTTTTACATTCCAACTTTGGAATCACTCCCTTTTAAATCAGAGATCCCACACTCATTCATTCAACAAACATTCACTGAGGATCCTTGCGCTGTGCTAAGCTCACATAGTGAGAAAAGCACATGCAGAGCCTTTATTTAAGGGGCCACAGGTCAGGAGACACAGAGACAGGGTCTACAGTTACAGTCTGAGAGAGAAAAAGTTCAGATTCCTCCTGAGAAGGGAGAAAGGAAGCCTGAGAGCCCTGGGGATCTAACCCAAGTCAAGCTGTTGCTCCGCCACTGAGCAGCATCCCCAGTCCTCAACAATAGCTATTGAGCATCTGCTCTCTGCCTGCCTGGGGCCAAGGGCCAGGCAGATGTCGAGCAGACCTTCAGTGCTGCCCTTCCAGATGGCCAAGGCAGGTGCACCTGTCTATGGGTTGCAACCAGTCATGCCTTCTCAGAGGGCAATGCGGATGTGGAGGTGGACCAGCTAGGCTACCTGCTGCCATGGGCTTCCTGAATGAGCCAGATGCACCAAGAAGCAGAGGTAGGAAGGTTTCTTGGGGCATTATAGATCAAAGGAACCTTGGGAGCAAAGGCCCGAGGACGGGAGGGAGCACACGAGAGGGAGAATAAGACAGAAAGGCTGCAGTGTGGCCGCCTGAGAGAGGCCCAGGGAAGAGGGCAGGAGAGGCTGTGCCCCTGGGATGGGTGAATGGGCCTGAATCCCCAGGGAGAGACTTGCCCAGCTGGCATCTGAACCGCTCTAGCTGCCGTGTGAATATTGGATTACAGGGTTACTTTGGCAGGAACTGCATCCTAATTCCTTTCCTCTTTCTCGCTTTCCTTTCCGGTGACCTCAGAGATTTAAACAAATGCTTGCCAGATACACAGCAGACAGTATGCCAGCAATGAGGGCCAGCGGGACTCGAGGAAGAGCCCACAGCTTGATGCAGCTCCGTCCTCTCTCCCTTCTCAGGGCCGGTGGCTCTGGACAGGTCACTTGTCCTCTCCTGAGCCCTCCCTTCATAAAACGGGGAGAACAATGCCTGCTCCACCAAGTTGGTGAGCAATAGGAAGGGTGTGGGCCCATTACTCGGCTTTGGCAGAACTCCACGAGTACCAGCTGTGATTGGCAGCCATCGCGGTGCTGTCAAACAAGGCAGAGAGAGAATTTTAATATGCAGTGTACATGTGAGCACTACATATTTCCACAGATGCCTGTCTAATGAGCTCTTCCTAATACTGGTATTGGAAAACAGGTTTATATTACGGCTGTGATTAAAATATACATGGACATACAATAAAATTTTTTTAAAGTTTTCTCAGTAAATTTATGGGAGTTGCCTTGTATTGGCTTTTTTCCTGTATGTAGTTGTTCCCTGGAGAAACTGAACCCATTTATTTACCTGTTTGTTATCCCCTAGATGAAATGACATCAGCGTCTTGAGAATAATTTTATTTCTTCTCCTCTCCAGAGCTTCCTGGATAGCCTGGTACTAGGTGCTAGGTGCTCAATAAATACTTGCAGGATGGAAAAATAAATAAAAAATGAATGCGTGCATTTAACTTAGGAGTCTAGTAATTATATTTTACAAATCATATCAAGATATATTGTCTCTTCTACAGAATAGGAGTATCTTCAAGAGAATTTGACATGGAGTATTTGAAAGCCAGACTTTGCTGGAAGTTTTCAGGATATATGATCATCGCATATATTCTTAAATAGCTCGGTTTCTTTCAAAGAGAAACACAAGTAATTACAACAAGCTTCACTGTGGGCTCGTGTGACACTTACTCTTGTGCATAAAGCATAAAGCTTGTTCCAAGTCACGAGGCGTGATGCCATGTGCCTGAATGCTGGCACTCTGGGAGGCTGAGTAGGGAGGATCACAAGTTTGAGCACAGCCTGGGCAATTTAACCAATGAGACCCAGTCTCAAAATGAAACATACAGAAGGGCTGGGAATATCACTCAGTGTGAAGGTTCTGGGTTCAATTCCCAGTACAGGGGGAAATAAAAGTTGTGCATCTTCTGTTCACAGAAAAGGAACAAGCTAGAAGACATTAAAAGGCTGTCTCCCCACTCACACAAGGACTCAGGCTCAGCTTTTCTCTTATCTTATTCACTAGAATTAGTTGCCTTCATCAGATCTCTTTGGGCACAAAGACAGCCATACATTTTGTTTGTGAAGCCCAGCCGGGTCCAGCTCAACAGAGCTTCGATTCAAAGGGGAAATAGAATATGCACCAAGTGAGGAGACCAGGAACAAAGACTCCAGTATGACACTTTACAGGAGAGCTAAATAAGCACTCCAAATAGCATCAAGAAGGTAAAAAGCCTCGAGAATGTAGAAGAGATAAACTGGAGGGGGAAATGAAGAGGAGCTGGAAGGATCAATTTAAAATCAATGAAAGAATTTAAGATTTCATTTTAAAGGAGTTTTTTAATAGTAAGGCTTATGGTAGTATCATTTACATACAATAAAACTGCCCTTTTGGTGTAGAGTGTAATTATCACACGCAGATGGGTCATTACCATCACTACCAAGATATGAAACCCTTTAATTATTGCAAAACTCTCTTGCCCCTCTGCTCCCTCCCTCTTTGCTCCTAATCATCCTGATCTATCTTGCATCCCTCTAGGGCTGCCTGCTCTAACGAGATTCAAGGGGTTGAGGGTGCAGCTCCATAGTGGGCACTTGTATAGCATGCATGAGGCCCTGGGTTCAATTCTCAGCACCTAATAATAACAACACTAAGAATAAGAATAAATAACAGGGCCAGGAATATAGCTCAGTGGCATAAGCATCTATCTGGCACATACACACAAAAAAAGAATTGAGGAACAATTTAAAGTGAGAAAGAGACTAAGATCCCCCCCCTAATTCCTACTAAAACATCATTCAGTGAATTTACATGTATTAAGGATCTATTATTTGCTGAAGATTTTTCAGATAATACTGTTCACTTTTACAGTTTGTCCACGAAGGGTATATTGTCCCCATCTCTCAAATAAGAGGAAATAAAAAAGCTGGACGTGGTGGCGTGCACCTGTAACACCAGGGAGACTGAGGCAGGAGGATTGCTGTGAATTCAAAGCCAGCCTGGGCTACAAAGTGAATTCAAGGCCAGCCTGAATTGCAAAGTGGAACCCTGTCTCAAAAAGACCCCAAAAAAAGAAAGAAAGAAAAGTTAGAGATGAAACTTGCTGATGAGCTACAGTGCAGAGAGTTAAAATCACAACTGACAATGATGTCGCACGTGGTTTATGTCTGAGTGTTAGACTACAGCTGACCTGTTCTTTTGTCTGTATTTATTTGTGTGACGATGAGCTGACATAAACAGAAAAACTACTTTTTATGATTAAATAGATGAATACATACTCCGTACACATGGACAAAGGCTGATTCCAAAACCTGTACTCTCTACAGAGCCAAGGGGGAAGGTAGGGGAAATGGTTTAGAAGGGGATAAAAGAAAAACATCTCTTAGCACCTGGCTCCCTTCAAAGCAAGAAATCAGAGTGAGGTTAACAGCAGGATGCACATCGCTGTCCTGATCTCTCCAGCTGTAGTCACAGGGCAGCCTCTTCACCTTCAGAAAGGTCTCCGGCCCCAGTGTCCTTCCACAGGGCTGGAGGCGTGTGATACACACAGAGATGGCTCCAGACCTCAGCCACTCCTGAGTGTCTTTCTGCCTTCTCCAGAAGACCAGGCAGGAACAAACTCGTCATCCCAGAGGGAAGGCAGGTACATGTCAGCCTCTCACTGTTTTTGGAGTGGCAGCAAAGAGCACCATGGACCAAAGAGCTAAGAGAACCCAGGCCAGAACACAGGTCAGACTTGAACACAAAAGCAACTAATGAGCTGAGACAAAATGCTTTTAACTCATACATCTGACAAAGAATTATTATCTAGATTATGTAAAGTGTTCTACATATCAAAAGTCAAAAGGAAAAGAAAAACCAGCTTGGACTGCCTTGAACAGACATTTCATAAAGGCAGACACATAAATGGCCAATAAGCACTTTAAAAGATGCTCAGTGTCATTAATCATCAGGGAAATGTAAATGAAATCCACAACACAATACTGCTACCCACGTGAACAGCTAGGGAAGGGGGCAGGTCACACAAAACACAGGCCAGCCTGACCTCCCACACACTGTGGGTAGCATGTCTGCCTCAGGAAACATCTGACAGTTTCTTATGAAACTAGATCAACACTTATGCTATGGCCCTGCAAATCCACTTTTAAGTTAGCCAAGAGTTATGAAAATAGTTCCGCAGAGAGGCTCACACCAAAATGTTCCTAGCAGATTTAATTGCCGAACCAACTGATGGGTATCCACACCAGGGAATACTACTCAGAATTCTGGAGAGACAAACTCTGACACGGCTGATCATGCGGGTAAGTCTGCAAAACATCGTGCTGAGGGAAAAAAAAAGACATAGAAAAGAATATTCTGTGTGTCAGCCCGAAGTGGAGATGCACGGTTGTTAGGTTTGGCAGCCTGCGGGTCTGAGGCCAGAGGACCACAAGTTAGAGTGTAGTCTGGGCAACTTAGCAACTCAGGAAGATCATGTCTCAAAAACTAAAAGGGGCCAAGAATGTAGCTCAATCCTCAGTACCAAAAAAAAAAAAAAAAGAAAAAGAAAAAGAAAGAAAACACTGCGTGATTGCAATTATGTGAAGTGCTATAAGAAAAACTAGGAACAGCAGTTGTCTCTGAGGTTCTGGAGCTGAGGAAGGGACAGGAAAGAACTCTCTGGAATGACGCTAGTATTTTGTATCCTGATCAGGCTTTGTGTTATGTAAATGTTTCTGTTTGTCAAAAGTAACAAGGTATATATGCTTCATTGTATTTAAGTTTTATCTCACTAAAAACTAGTAATAGCCAGGGATTTAGCTCAGCGGCATAAGCGCTTGCCTGGCAAGCACGAGGTTGTGAGTTCAATCCTCGGTACTGCAAAAAAAAAAAAAAAAAAAAGAAACAGTAATAAAAAAAACTGTGTGTAACCGAATATTGGAGTTTGGTGATGATACACAGAATAAAATCTTTAGAGGAAAAGTGTATAGACTTTTGACATATAACAAAAAAGAAAAGAGAAAAAGATGGATTGATGAATGAATAGGGGGATGACTACACAGATTTGTGGTAAAGTATGTAAAGCAAAAGTTAATTTTAGAAGCTAGAGGGTAGGTATATGAGTGTTAGCTAAAAAATTTTTCATGGTGTCTGGATATTTGAAAATTGTTATAATGCAATGCTGGAAAAATAGGTTGTAATTTAGGAGAAAAAATAGAGGTCAGACAAAAAGAATGAAGCTAATGTTAGAGTACAGTATTATAAGGAATCACAGATCTGTTTTTGAGTTTCTTAAGAGTCAAAGCAAAAAGGGGCTGGGAATATGGACAAATAGAGGGAAAGAAGTAGGGAGAAAGAAATGAAAGGGGAGAGAGAGAGAGACTGAGAGAGAGAGAGAGAGAGAGAGAGGGAGAGAGAGAGAATCTCAGTTATAAGTTTAGTAATGCCTGTGTGATTAAAAATAAATCTAGAAAAGCATCCTCTTTTGGAGGTGGGCAGTCTCTCACAATGTTGCTTAGGCTGGCCTATAACTCCTGGGCTCAAGTAGCCTCCTGTCTCAGCCTTCTGAGGAGCTGGGACCAGATTCAGCGTGTGTTTTGGAAAGCACTACTTCTGGAGGGAGGTTGTCTTAAGACACAGGCACGGCACAGAGCCTTTCCTTATTAAATAAGCAGGGTGCTCATTTTTCTCCCACACATCATAGACCACAGCTAATGCTTTGGGTCTGATGTGGCCACTCAGTTCAAGTGAGCAACTAGGAACAGTAGGTGATTGGGAAGCCAAAGTTCTACAACACAGACAATGGCTGCAATGCTTTAGCCAGGGAAAAAAACTTACATCAAAGATAGAAAGAAGCTTGAAAACCTCTTAGAAATAGATTCTAGAGTTTAGCTCATTCATCTACTTAGAGATACCCTGCTAAATTCAGTCTTCTCTGAATATGTACCATATGCTTGGTACCAAAGGGAATGATAATAATAGCTTTCTTATACCATCTTTCAACAATTCTAAGATGCATGTTTTTTGCACATTTTGACATTTCCAAAACTGGGATAGGTATTATAATTCATGGCGTGTTATAACTGGTTAAAAATTTTTTTCTTAATGGTACATTAAAAGATGGGATCTTAATGAGGTGTGTGTGTGTGTGTGTGCGCGGGTGTGCACGCACACGTGTGTGTTTGAGACAGGGCCCTACTATACTGCAGTCCAGGCTGGACTTGAGCTCTTTATGTACCCCAACCTAGCCTTGAACTCGCACCCATCTGCTTCAGCCTCCCCAGTGCTGGCATTAAATCTTGAGTCGCCATGTTGGCAGGCATCTTGGATATATTAAAAGACAATTTCTAGTACTTTGCAGTTCAAAGTCTATGCATCTTATTTGAGCCTTACAATATCGTATTTTGGTGATATGGGTAATTATTCGTGTTCCAAATATAAAAATTGGAATTCAGGGAGGATAAGTGATATCACTCCAAAATCCTCACTAGAATGTGATGAGGCTATAACTCTAATATAAATATACTGCTTTTCTCCCAATATCACACAAAACATGTATAGAAAAGACCAGGGGTGGTGGTGCATACCTGCAATCCCAGCACTCGGGAAGCACTCGGATTTCCTGAGTTCAAGGCCAGCCTGGGCTACAAAGTGAGTTCAAGGCCAGCCTGAACTGCATAGCAAGACTCTGTCTTGGAAAGACAAAACAAAATTTGTAGAATGAAAACTGCACGGAAACAGAGCTTTGTTTTGGTGCCTTGCTGAGGCACCAAAGTACAAAGAATTGCACGGCATATAGGAGCTACTTAATGGGTGAAGCTTGAATGGGTGGGCATATTATATAAGTGGAGGAGAGGTCAGAAGGGAAAGAACCCTGTGGGTTGTAATGGGTTGGGAAGTTTAGACAAGATGACTCTCTTGTCCTTTTCTCTACTGTGACAAATTCTCGTAGAGGACTCAAACATTCATGGTGTCTTCCATGGCTTCCAGGTTAAGCCAAACAATTTAGTACAAAGCATTCAGGGACTTGTATTGAAGGACCTGGGTTATTTCCCTAGCATAAAACTCTGGGAGAAAAAGTAACTTTCCTGAGCCATTGGGAACAGCAGAACCCATTAGGCTGTGTCCTTATGGAGGAAGTGACACCAGCTTCCTGGCACACAGGAAGGCCTCAGTGGCACAGTCGCCTTGCTCTCCCTCCAACACTTGAGCTTGGTAAACACTTCTTTTTCACACTTTCCTCCCAAGAGATTGCAACCTTAAAAGAAGTGAAAAAGGCTCTGTTTGGTTTATATACACCTCTCGGGACCTCAGGAGAATACTTGACACATTTTAAGGGCCCTGAAACATTTTCAAGATTCATTCATTCACTGATTAAATCCACACATATTTACCGTGTGCTGCCACAAGCCAGGACTTTCTGATCACTGAAGGTATGGAAATAAATAATAGTAACAAAGATCTCTGCCCTTGGATTGGGAAGGTAACCCCATGGCCCATACCTGCTTAATATGTACAATCTCGAGTTCCATCCCCAGCACTGCAAAAGAAAAAAAAGAACCTCTGCCTTTAGGGAAAAAAATGAACAAGACGTGCATGAATATATAATGCATGACATTAAGTGCTAAATAAAATAGGGAAGTGTGAGGGGCAGCCAGGGGTGACTTGTTGCAAAAGTAATTTGGATTAAAAGCCTCGCTCCTGTGGTAATGTTTGAGAAGAGACTCCAAGGAAACGAAGAGAAAACCATACAGACAACCAAGTTAAATATGAAGAGCAATTTCAGTATTTGTGGGAAATAGGAATGCAAAAAAAAGTAAGCAGAACATTCTGGAAGGTGGGAACATGTCACCAAAATCCTGATGGAGTTTGGAAGGCTGGCAAGGGCAGTGTTATGTGGAAGAGGAAGCCGGAGGGTCAGGTCTTAGGTGGTCTGGGGGAGAAGCTGCCTTTCTCCTTGTGATAGTGGGAAAACACTGCAGGCTTGGGAGGAGGTGGGTGTGACAGGAAGCTTCCTCCAGGAGAATAAGAGAATGTTGGCCCAGTCGGGGAGCATGAAATGGAAAAGACGGCAGTTCCATGTGAGAAATCTTGAGTTTGATATCATGGTCGGTGAACAAACAGAACTTGCCTGGAAAAACAGTTAAGAGAGAACAGGGCTTATGACTTGAGGGTGTAGCTCATCTAAATCCAGACGGTTATATAATCATCTTTCTAGAGCTGCAGACTCTGCGAGCAACAAACAGACCTTGTTAGAATTTCACTTCTGGCCTAAGAACTGGTACAGCATTCCTCTTTGGAATTTTCCAAGCTTACGCCAAGACTAGACAACCACAGTCAGCAGTAATGAGAATGATATGCAGGACCGGGAGGCAGGGAGATAGGCGGTAAAGTCAGGCCTTGTAGCAAAAGGTCCCTGAAAAGTGAGGTACAATGTGCCTGTGGGGGCTCCAACCAAGGAAAAATCTGCAAGGGCCTGCGTCCTGCCAGATGCTTCTACCTTATGGGAGAGTTTTGCTCAGAACTGCACTACATGAAATGATTTAGACATCCTTCAGCAAGCAGCATGCCAATAATTCATCCTGTCCAAAAAACATACAGCCCCTCACATTCGACTTTTCAATCTAGCACTGATTGGAAAGATCAGGCAAGGAACAAAATTCTCCCTTTGACATTTGGAATGAGTTCTCATTTACCCTCCAGCAAGTTGAAAGGAGGGGTGGGGACTGTGAGTGGCGCAGAACCAATGACAGGGGTTTGTAAAACATGGGGAGAGATGATGGGGAAAGACAGGAAGCAGTCGCATCTTTATATAAGATGCACAAGCCCGACTAAAGTGCTTGTGGCTGTGTGACAGTGGAAATCTACCGCTGAGAAAAGAGAAAAAGAAATGTCATGGAATGAACTTAGTTCTCACTGACAGAAGCAAAATCTGCTGTTTTACCTAGAATTCCAGCCAGGTGCATTATGTGCTTACAGCTAGCTATTGGCTGCAGGAGAGGAAAGAAAATAAAGAAAAAAATAAATAAATAGAGCTTTAAATGTAGATCAGTGGTAGACGGCTCTTAAGTTCAGTCCTCTTGATTGGAGAGACAGAAATCATATAGGAAATAGAGGGAGAGGAAGAAGGAGAAGAAAGAGAGGAAGAAAGATGGGGGAGGGAGAGACAGAAGACAGACACACACACACACACAGAAAGAAAGAAAGAGGAGACAGAGACAGAGGAGACAGATGAAAGACTTCTACTTGAAAAACATTATCTTAGCCCACAGATCTTCAAACATTTTGCTTACATAACTCCCAAAAGAATTTTTAAAGCCATGTAACTCCTTGCATATTTTAAGCTGACATCTAAAATTTTTCATCATAAGATAAAATAAGATGATGACACACTATAATTGGGATAAATATTTCATGGTACTTCTTGGTTAAAAACAGGTTTTAACTTCCTAGGGAATAAAACATCCCAGACTTGAAAAAAAATGTTACCATTTTATGAGTCAGTTTTATTCGGTGTTTCTCCAAACTGTCTGTCCTCCAAGACCCTGTACTACACTTTAAGAGAAAGCATGGCTAACTTACAGCTAACTTACAGTTCAGCTGTGCTGAGCCCAGAGTTTCCCCCAAAAGCAACTGTCTACCTGCAATGCTCAGTTTCATCCTTCACAGAAATAAATGTTCCATAGACAAATGAGGGAAGCCCACAGGTGCCAGGCGATCAATGTATAGTAAGTAAAAATGTCTTCCCCAAACTAAAATGTCTTCCGTTTTTTTACGTTTATATGCATCTATAAAAAAAATAGAAGCCCTTTCCTAAAATAACACAGTCACACCTAACAAAAATATTCAGTCCATATGAAATCTCTCCTGTCCCCCAAATGCCCTTTTTGACTGGTTTTCCTAAGCCAAGATCCAATCCTGAGCTATCGACTGCATTTGGTTTTTATGTCCTACGTCCTTTTTAATCTAGAACATACGTTCCTACTGGAGGTGATATTGTCCCTAAAGGAGCAAAAAGTGATTTGTTGTCCATGAAAAAAATCCTACTCTTTCTGTGTACAAAGCACACATATATGTACAATATGTAGATATCTACATGGGGGGCAGTATTTTCATAGTGAGATGATAAACTAGGGGAAATATGAAAAAGACTTGCTTGGCAGAGTGTGGGAAATGATGGGGAGGCTGCAGGTTTGGCTGGGGTTTCAGGAGGGCCAGAGGTGAATGACAGTGGCATGGGCTGCAACAGTACAGTATGTGTCCTGCCCCAGGCCTCCAAGTGGGAAAAGGCTGTAGGTGCTATTCCTCCGCTTTACACCAGCTTCCTGAATCTCCCACAGCCCAGAGCTATGCAGAGAATTCTTGATATTCTATCTATAGCTTTGCTGAACTGGCACCCAAACCAACCCAGAAAGGGCCTTCATATGCAGCTTAAGGCCCACCGATTGTCGGGATAGCAGAGGGCCAGGGAGCCTCTCTGAAAGTTGTGCTTGGGAGTTCTGGGTTAGATTTATAGCCTTGTTGCATATTCTTAAGAGTGAACATGTTAACACTAAACCTCAGCAGCTAAGAGGGGATATTACTGCTTTCCCTCAGGACTTAGGCAGCAGAAGCAGGAGGGGCGTAGGGGGGGACTTCAGTCTTATAGGCATAGGTGGAGAGAAAGATATTGGCTGTTAACCTCTCTACAATTTGGTTTATTCATCCCTAAAAGAAATGGATAACACCCACTTTGCAGGATTCTATATTACAGGACAAAAGCAAACACAAAGTCCAAGTACATAGTGCCAGACAATAGGAAGGAAGTACTTAATAAGCGATAGCCATTAGTTCAAAGATATCTTCCCAGTTAATACAATCATGGTGATATCTTGGGTCCACTGAATTTTTGGAAGCTCACACAAGTCTGGTTGGTTATGCTAGAAGTTAGAATTCACAGAACCATCAGTACACAGCCCCTACAATCAAGAGTTTTCCGTGTCCTTGGATTGCAATAACAGGCGTGTAAAACCTGATAGTCCCAATTAGTCCACTTCCAATTGACAAATGCCATCATTAGCTGCAGGCAGGAGGCAGAAGTAGATAGGAAATCAGTCTGACGCTGTTATTGCTATTCAGTATTTCCCAAAGGCAGATGCCTCCTTTATGGTTCTTCATGCCTCAGAGAGCTGGAATTGACTGGGGAATTATGGAGGCAAATAGAGTTGTGGAGCATAGGAAAAGGTCACTCTGGTCCTGTCATAATTTGAGTCTCTCCCCTATTCCATTCTCTTGCTCCAGATTAAATTTTATGGGCCACAAATGCACTTCAGGGTCAGAAACCAGTCGGCCCTGAATTTGTCAAGATGTTGTGGTTGCAAGAAACAGAAACTTGGGCTACCTACTGGTGTAGAGCCCACTAAAGTCACAAGGACAAGGGATGGATCACTCTTCAATGGAGTAAGTCCTTCAGTGCACCAGAAGGAGGTAGGGAGGGGAGCTGAGCAGATGCAACTGGCAGGTGCCTCTTACTGATCCTTTTTGTCCCAAGGTTTCCAACAAGAGTCTCAGAAAACAGAGAGTACATTTACCATCTCGAAGGAAAAACTTCTTGCTGACAGAAAGCAGAGAAAGGGCACAGAAGAAAAGCACTGAGTGAAGAGTTTGTCATCAGAATTCCACAGATGAATGTATCATGTCTCCGTGCCTCCAGGAATTTAATCTCTAGGAGTCTGACTGTCACAACCTCAAACCCTTAGGGGGTGAGTTCACCAAGCTCACTGGGCTTGTGTAAAAACTATATGAAAAATGCATATAAGAGGCATAGTACAAAGCGTGATGCACGGAAAGTTATTTGATAAATAAAAACAGTCTGTGTATTCATAGAACAGCCACGTCCCACTACACACTGAGGTCTGTTTCTTGCAAATACCTATCACTCCCTGCTTAGGGTCTTTTTCTGGCATAGGGAGAGCCATGTGGAAGGTTAATGTTCCGTGGATCTTAACTCTCAGGAGTCAGGAAATAGTCCAGCTTCCTCATCCACAGTGGGTGCCTCAGAGACTTCTGGAGGCTCTTGCACAGTACCCAGACTGACCTTACCCCAACTGACACCTCCACTCCAGAATGTGCCCCTTTCTCTTCCTGTCTTACCATCCTTCCTGCAGTTACCTCCTGAGTAAACTACTTACTCTTGAATCCTCCGCTCAGATTGGGCCTCTGAGAACCCAAACCAGGACAATGGATTCGTAAAGAAAATTTGAGAGAGGCTCGGCAGCAGAACGTCCACTATCACCATTCTATGACTGGTGGATTTAAGCTGTTTTCCTCTTTGTTATCTGAGCTCAAAACATTTTCACCATGGAAGTATAAGGGGGTGATTAAGATATATGTTGAGGGTTTAAATTAAAATGTTACAGTAAAAGACTTACTGTCAAGAATGATGGGGTAATGTTTTCAAAGTAAGGAAGAGTATTGAAAGTATTTTACTATATTAAATTTTAATTTAAATATTAATTTTATACATATATATATTTGGTAGGTTCTTGTTTTGATTTTTGGGATGGGGTCTCACTATGTAGTTCAGGCTGGCCTTGAACTCTCTATGTAGTCCAGGTTGGCCTTGAACTCATGGCAATCCTCCTGTCTCAGCCTCCCTAGTGCTGGGATTACAGGCATGAGCTACCATGTCAGGCTTCACTGTATGTTTTGATCACCTTTCATTGATCAAATGTTTACAGCCATCTCTGTCTAATGAATGCATTATGGTATGGCCTCATCTACTGTATTCACTGGATCTGGAAACATGTGACTTCTGACTTTTCTCCAAAGTCAAAATGACCATGAAAAGTCAATGTTTTGGATCGATGAGGAACACACGGAAGAAGACTTATAGAACTGCTTCGGAAAGTGGCAAGAAGGACGGAATTGTTTTTGAAGCGAGGAGGAGGATTTTGAGCGAGATTCATAGCAATGTGTTTTTTACTAACCCTAATCAAACTCTATGTGCCCAGTAAGCAAAACTCACTTTTGCACCCACAAAGCCCATCCCTACCATGACTTACACCTATCCTAGCCCTTTCTGTTCCTCTGCCTTTCTTCCAGGCTCCCCAGACCCACTCTGTCCATGATGCCACTTGGTGTCTATGGTGGATTAACTAATAGTCAGTTTGTAACACCCAGCTGAAATAAATCAGTGCGGTTCTGAGGGGAGAAGGCCCCCCTGATGACTGTTGCCAACAGCAGAAAGGCAGAACTGGCGGGGAAGATGCTGGTGTTGTTGATTTTCTGGAGACACTTATCAAGATGGCTTTCCTGATATGCACTCAGCTATTCTCACTGTCAGAGGAGCTCGGGTCCTCGCTGTCATTGAGGATGGCTGCGGTTCTCTTTGGAGGAGCCCTCTTATCTTGAGTGTCACTTCCTGGCTCCAGTGCAGATCCCTCAGCCTACTGGCACAGATCCTTCATCCTCTTAGCAGACATCCTAGCTTCCACCACTGACCTTCGGGCCTTCCCAGTTCAGATTCTTGATCAGACTTGCAGGAGACATTGTTGGGGGCTTTAGACCTCCAACTGGACTCGTGCAGAACATTGCCAGGCCCTCAGCTGGATTCTTTGGATCTCTCGTGTGTGGACAATCTCCTGTACTCTTCTGAATTTGACTTTTATTATAAAATAACACTATACATTATGTGTCCTGTATTAAATCTATTCCCTTGTTAACCCTGACTCTGTGTCCCTTGCACCCCATCGGCATTACGAGTTCCTCCCATTCCCTCTGTTGATTTAAAGAGATTGAACAAAACACCTCTTTGCCATAAGGGTCTCTCAAATTTCTGTATTATTTAAAATAACAGTAGAACCACTTCCACCGAAAAATAGTGTTACCAGTTCAGGGTAAATTACTCCCTCCTTGAAAATTATTTAAGATATTATCTGAGCAGCATCTGCTATTTCAGTGTTTCACAAAGGATCTTTTTATAGGACAGCAGCCATTGGGGAAGAAAGAGAAACAGAAGCTGGCTGGGATGCAGTCATTCCACCATCCATAAACGATCTTTTCATGAGGACACAGCCGATAAGGAGGGAAGGAAAGACAAAAAGCATTCTTGACTTAGGAATGGAATAGCTGCTCCCCCTCAGCATCTGATTCAGAGACTCAGAGTGGCTCTCTCAGGGCTGTGCCTCTTGTGAATTATGAGTTCCCCGTCCCACTCCCAGGCTTCATACTAAAGACAAGACACAGCTGCCAGGGCCTCCAGAGATTTCCCAGTAGTGTACTATGGTGAAATAAAACACCATAGTATGCCGGAAAACTAGCCAGTCCTTTCTACACGTGGGCTGTGCTATCTCATGACCAGGATGAAGGATCCCAGGCCCTGGACACTTACTGCATGTCTTGAGGTTTGTTGCATGATCTACAAGTGCTCAGCTTGTATGTGTGTTCCCAGCATGATGTGGGTGATTATCTTCTGTGGCCCTGTTGCCCTTGAAGTCCCAAATGTCCTGGAATATCATCAGGCTAAGGATCCTCCCTGTTGATATCTTTGATATCCTTATTACCAAACGACTACATTATACAAATGGGCTGAGGCTTATGTATAATGATTGGTTGAACAGCTTCTGATGTTGCAATCTCAGCTTGATGTGACCTAGAAAAACAGGAACCAGCTAAAACAGGTCTGTAACCCCTTATGGAGAACTGGCGTATATTAGAGAAACATTGAGAGGGTTTCTCTAATTGGGAAATTGGAGACTCTCACAAGTTCAATGGTTTAAACCCCAATAGAAACTGCTATAGTTTGCAACAGGAATGTCTCCTAAAAACCCATATGTTAATGGCTTAGTCTTCACTTCGCTCTACTGAGAGGTGGAAAAGCTATTATTGAGTGGGGCCATTGGGAGGCAGTCAGGTCACTGGGAAGCTTGCCTTTGAGTATTGGAATACCAGCCCTCTCCTCACTTATCCCTTTGTTTCCCCACAACCATGAGTGAAACATACCTCCTCTGCTATGCAATCCCCAGCATGTCACAGGCCAAGTAACAGGGCCAAGTGAACATAGACTGAGACCTCTGAAATCATGCACCAGGATAAATCTTTCCTAATTAAGTTGTTTGTCTCAAGCATTTTATCATAGTGACAGACAACTGACCAATACAGAGACTAAGGCTGAAAGTAAATATCCCATCTTGATTTTAAGTGTTTGAAAAAGTTTCAAATCCCAGCTCCCGAGTGGGCCATTATAGGAGGAGAGGGACCTTAGAAATGACTGAGTTCTTTCTACTGATGACAGTAGGTTTCTAAGCATCCATAGATAGCTCTCCCTATATCCTCCCTCTACTATTTTGCCTATTTATAAACTAGCAGAAAGGATGAATAAACATTTTTCTCCTTGTTTGATAGGACTTGTATACAGAAATCTCAACTTTATTAAAACTGTCAGATGCTAAAGAATCAAATTTCTTTCTGATGTATCTGTGGGCTATATATGCAAGAATAGGGAAGGATCTGTCTTCACTTTCTTGTTGCTGGGACACAACTTAACAGAGGAAAAGCAGGGAGGCATAGTAGAGAAAAGACCACTTGCTTCATTGTAGTGGGAAGCAGACTGGTTTTTTTTTTTTTTTTTTTTTTTTTTGTCTTTTTCCTTCTTATCCGTACCGGGATCAAACTCACGACTGCCTGCTTGCAAGGCAGGCGCTTATGCCGCTGAGCTAAATCCCCAGCCCCAGAAGAAGGCTTTTGAGGGAGGAGCTAAGGAGGGAGATAAAACTCTCCCAGGCCACACTTACAGTGACCCGTCCCTTCTGATCAGATCCTACCTACCAGCAGGTGATATATAAACTACTATACCCTGTCATCTCCCAAAAGTCTCAACTATGACCACATGAGGCTTTGGGGGGACATCTAGATCTAAACCAACACAGGATCCACCAGTAATACAAATGTTAATGTACATGTTCTATTGGGGTCCATCTGGAGGTACTCAAGTAGAAGCCAAAGCAATTGAACTTAACAGCTGAGGGACACAGATCGAATCTTATTTATGCTTCTATCCTTTATTATTTATTTATTTGGTAAGGAGTGCTCAGATGAAGTTGGGTTGAATTATTAAAATGCAAACATCTGTACCATTTTGAAAAAATATTACAGAACTGTCAAAAGCAATAAATACATAAACTATACTGAGTCATTTCTCTGCTTCTCATTTATGAGGCTAGAATTCTTGCCCAGTATAACTTGGTAATATTTGCAAGTTTTAACAATGGCTGAAGGAAGGGAAAGGACAATTGTTACTGCCCCATTTTCTTGATATGAGCCCAGTATCAGCCTGTTTTAGAGTCAAAGTTGATGTTAGGCTGGCACAGAAGAGCATAAATACTGCCCAGAATCTACTGGACTTCCTTTGGGTCTCCTTAGCCTTCTTTGACTAAAACAACTTATGAATCCAGCCTTCCCTCTCAGCACAGCAGATGAAACTTATCCTGCCCAAATTATGGACTTCTTTAGGGAGGGATTCTGCTCTCTCTCTCTCTCTCTCTCTCTCTCTCTCTCTCTCTCTCTCTCTCTCTCTCATGGAAGCATAGCTTTCTTCACATTCTCCAAGGTTTCCATGATCCAGCAAATTTCTGTTGCTAGACAGATCTGCAGGTTCTACACGTGAAGAGCAAACACAAAGCCTGATGTTCTAGCGACCAGATCACTCTATGCAGTGGTTGTGCACATCCCAAATTCTTAGACTCTGCCTAATCTGGGACTGTCATTTGGATGGGAAAATGACAATTATTAATTATCATTATTATGATTACTTATTATTATTTTAGGTGCCACAGGTTGAAACTAGGACTTTCACACTAAGCTATATCTCTAGTCTTTTTAAATTTAGATTTCTCTTTTTAAAATGGATATATTTTTGCAGTATACCATATTTATATATATATTTTTTTATTTTGAGACAGAGTCTCCCTAATTTGCTCAGGTTGGGCTTGAATGTGAGATTAATTCTCTTGTCTCAACCTCCCAGAGTACCAGGATTATAGCTATGTACCATCACACTCAGCAAGCAATTATTAATTTTAAAAAAGAAGTTTAGAAAGGGCTGCCACTTAATTTTTGGTCAGTAGTTTGTATAAACACATGCTATCAATATAATATTTTGCATCACAGATTTGCTTAGGTTCTTTTGTAGAAAAATATTTCATATTCCAGAAATGATGAAGACACGAACACTACCCAGGTCACGATTACCCCTCATGCTTTTAGTATGACACAGAGAGACAAATTTGTCATAGTTAAGTAACATTTTAAGTAGTGGCGCCACAATACACATGTGCTCAGTGGTTTACAAACATTATCTTATTTAACCAAGGTTTACAGGGTTCATGCACCAGCCCAATTATCACGTCCTGGTCAGCAGCACAGTCAGCTACCCAGAACAGATCACGCTCGAGGTCTTTGTTTGGTGACAGACTTGGCCATCCCCATAGGAGACAGCATGATGATGAGATGCAGCTTTGCCAGGGGACGTGGAATTCAACAGTAACAATTTTCTTAAAAAGTTTCTCAATTGTAATACTAAAAGGCAGGGTGCAACCTAATAGGGCCCTCTCAGCTAAATAGATAAGGAAAGACTGGTAATGATTTATTTAAAAGAACAAACGTCTAATTGGTGAGTGATGCTTTCTAAAATAACTTGAAGAAAAGAGGAAACTATAGAGCATATTCCAAGATGGGCAGCCTTCCAAACAGGGCAATTACTGCTGGGGAAAAGCAGAGCCGAGATGGAGGAGGGTGTCCAGAAGCCAGTGGGAGCATCTGGAGATAAAGGGGTCAGAAGGGCCGCGGGAAGATTAGCGCTCATGGCCCACAGCCCTGGATACCCTTGGGCTGGAGCCCCAGAGACCAGAGGGCGGCTGCTATCTGAACAGCGCAGACACTGGGAATCTAAGAATTAACCATGCGTGCTGCAGGCCTCAGAGGCCAAGACCTTTCTGTGGTTTGTTTTGCTTGGCTGAAAAGCATGTACTTAATACGCTGTAGTTTTTAGTACAGTACATGCTCTATTAATCTATGATCGCTACTGGATTGAGAGAGAAAACACAAAGTTTGGTATACAAAAAGTCCCTCATTTGGGATCCCTCCTATCTCTCAGAAGCTATTCCTGTTCCCAAATCTATTTCTCCAATAAATTTTCCTGCTCTGAAAAAAAACAAAAACTCTCCCCAGTAATTTCTTTAGATACCTATGTGAGAAAAATCCATGGTTTATTTTTGAAAGGAGGAAATAACTATACCATTATCTAAATCCCATTGGCTTTTAAATGACTCCAAACTCCAGTCGACTTGTCGATGCGCTGGTGCCCTTCATCAAATTCTATTTTACAAAAATGCCTACTTGTCTTTACTTTTAAATCTATTCAAAAACTTTGGAAGAATGCAGAGCTAAGAAATTCAAGAGTTTGATGGAAGAGTTGTAAGGATTTGATCTCTCTGTTTACTCATCAAAGACTATTTTTTTTCAAACTAAATAAGTTTTTTCACACTGGGATAACACTGATCTATATCCCTAGCCCTGTTTTAGTTTTTTAAAGTTTATTTTGACACAAGGTCTTGCTAATTTGCTTAGGCATAGCTCAAACTTTTGATCCCCCTGCCTCAGCCCTCCAGAGTGCTGGGATTAAAGACATAGGCTACCAAACACAGTTTACGGTCAGGAATGTGTTCTGATAATTCATTTGCTACATGTAACCTTGTCTCTTCGCTGAGGTGCTGTCTGTAAAATGAGTAACAGCTATAATGCAAATAGCTCTCAGAAAAACAA